GAATTCACACAAAAAACGTACAGATTATATACATATTGATTGTGTAAATAACCCTTGGTCTGTACTGTGGTCAATTTGGCCGATAAATGTTAGAAATTTGGGCCATCAAGAAAATGGCTAAATTTTTTATAAATAATATTCTACCCACTATGAATACCAACAGATTTGAATAACAATTGATTTAATAAATATGTTTTTAATGACATACAAAATACAGTCATTCAAAAGCAAAACTAGATGCGGTTTTTAGCGATTTGCTCTTGAACCTCTAATCCGATTTAAATCCGTTTTTACCAGATTGTACCTGGATAAATATCTGATCGATTGATATATAATATGTTATTATAAATAATTGTTTTAATATTAAAATATAGAATTAAATTTATTATTAACCACAATTCAGTATGAATAATGTGGTTTATAGGATCGTTCGGACCAAGGGTTATTTACACAATCAATATGTATATAATCTGTACGTTTTTTGTGTGAATTCTGACTATGGCTGAAAGTGTGGTTTTAATCATAGTCTCTAAACAATTATGTTTTTTGATAAAATGTTTTTTTGCAACATTTTCTCACTTTATATACAAATGTTGTTTTTATTTTTAGAAACAAAATTCTTTGTGTAAATTAAAACTATTAGCATAATGTTTGCGTTTGTGATGGCATTTCATTTTTCATATCAATTGTTTTATGTTTGATAACAGATCGGTTAGAGAGCAGACCAAATCACCGGTTGACATGCGAGTGGGCATTCATACGGGCGGAGTGTTGGCCGGAGTGCTCGGACAGAAACAGTGGCAGTTTGACGTCTATAGTCGTGACGTCGAGTTGGCCAATAAGATGGAGAGCGCCGGCAAACCCGGGTATGTTATCTCCCGATTAGACAACGTTTCAATTCAACTCACTTTTGTGTCTAAAAATAGCGCATATAGTTATGTAGTGGTTATTATGAATGTTGTATACGCTATATATTTGTAGCACTCTTTTTAATGGCAATGAAAGTATGCAAAGAATAACAGACTCCGAGTGCGCCCATAAACATGTAATCAATATTATTATTATTACTATTATCTCACATATAGTGTACGGTATATAAGATGCATAAGCCGTTGCAAAAATCCCATTATCCTGAATACAAGCGCTCATGAATTATGAACTTTAATGAAAGCGCAAAAATACATATATTTATAAATATTGTATATATTGTTAGGCAAGGCTTATGGCGAATCCAATGCCAGATTCTGGTAACCAATGAAATACCGGTTGTGACCTAAAAAAAAGTCACTTTTTTGCAGAAACTAATTCATGGCATCATCTGATGAATTACCTCTAAAAAAATACAAATTCACATATTTCTGGTTGTGATGCAAAACTAAGTCTTTGTTGTATTTTCTCTCATTTTTCATATGCATTGAAATAGTTATACTATTTTTTGGCTATAATTTAGGGAAGAAAATACTCCAACATTTTTGTCATAAATTGTGCCACAAATCTTAATATAAAACTCTCTCTCTCTCTCTCTCTCTCTCTCTCTCTCTCTCGCTCACAGCTTTAGGTTTAAAATAATTTTATATTTTAAAGAGTGCTTTTGCTTCAAAAGTCAGTTTTAGAGTTAAAAGCAGTTTATATTTAATAGCAACAAAAATAGAGAGAAAAATTACTGTAATTATGTTGTAGTTCTTGAGTTTCTTTAATGTATTTTTAAAATAATTTTCTGAAACAATAAATTAATGTCATTTGTATTCTGTAAATATACTGTACATCGCGTTTGAATGCATAAAATTGCGCAAAAATAAAACATATAAAACATTTTCATTTCTAATATTTATTTTGTATTAGTCTTAAGAGTTAAAATAATTTTTTATATAATACAATACTTATTAATATTGCACTAAAGATTATACATTTTATAGCATTGATGCTTGAAATATACATTTGAATTGTTTAAACAATGGTATAAATTATTCTCATTTTTCAGAGCCATTCAAAAGCGTTTATAAAAGGATTTTCTTAGAATAAATATAATATGTATTTATTGCTCACATAAGACAGCAAAATATATATACAGTATATACTGTAGACTTTTGCCAACTTATATGTCGACTAATCCTTATGTCAAAATCACAGAATATTCCGGGTTTTTGCTCTATTATTATTTTCTTATTATTATTATATTCTTTTTTAATAAATTGTGTTTTATTTAGTCATTTGTCGACACATTTTTTGCTCTGATATTATTTTGACAGAATATTTCATTTATAATTCAATTTGCAAATTACTTATCACACAAAAAATATGTCTAAAATAAGACAAAAGATAGAGAATATTGCTTTGTATATGAAATTAGGTTATTGTTAATACACTGAATATATTTTTTGATTGTATTTAATATTAATTACGATTGAATGTGTAATTGACTGATAGGAGAGTTCACATATCGGAGAAGACATTGAGTTTTTTGAACGGAGAGTTTGAAGTGGAGGACGGAGACGGGTCTTCACGGGAAGAGGCCATACGAATGGCGGCAATCAAAACATATTTCATCGTTCGTGTCATTAAACCAGTGAGTATTTCCATCTCCTCTTTCCCTATCATTATTATAGTTGCCTTCAAATCCATTCGTGATATTATTATAATATATTCAATGCTATCGATTCACTGCTTGCTTTTATTTGATATATATTTTTGTTGATCACATTTTTATATATTCTTTAGATGTTTGAAGTATTTGTAAAATTCTAAACCCAATAGTTATAGTTAGAGTACATTTAACGGACTCTATAGTGAATTCTTATATTTTATGGCCAAAAATGTGATTATTTAGTGTTTATTCAACAATATTTCGTTCATTTCTCACTGAATATATGCCATGTTTTTATTATTTAAATAAAGTTCACAACATTTTCAGTTTTCTAAAACTTACAGGAATTTAACTATTAATTTAAGAAAATTGCATTTAAAAATCCTTTGCCACGAATCTATGCAAAGCCTTTACCAGTATATAAACGGTTCACTAATTTTAACAACGAATTGCTTTTATTTAATGGATTATAAGTTATATAACTGAAAGTGACTGAGAAATTGAGTTATGGATTCAATACAATTTAAATGTCACACATATTAGGAGTTTTGGATTTAGATTTGAGGCATATATTGCGATAATAAAGGACTGAATTATTATTATTTAAATTCAACGATTGCCTTATCGTATAATTAATGTGCAATTCATGGCTCGATGCGAATTAATGTGCGTTAAAACAATACAAACATAGCATTAATGTTTAACAATAACACTCGTCCTAATAATACCATCATATTTTTACAGTAAATTGAAATAAATACATTTTGAATATAACATTTAAATTTATCGGATAGTCTCTCTCTCTCTCTCTCTCTCTCTCTCTCTCTCTCTCAAAATAATATTATTAGTGGTATAGACAAAGAAGATATGCATTACATTACATACGATAAATTCATTAGATATTTAAATAATATTATGAATTCAAAACAAGAATTTCATTAATTTTATTTATTTATGATATAATTATTTGTAAACTCTCTCTCTCTCTCTCTCTCTCTAAAAGCAATATCGAAATAATTGATATGACAAAAGCGAGCGAAATGAACATTTGTATTGAAGTTTGCTATACTTATATCTATAGAGTATTGAATATATAGCTATTCTCTCGAATTGATGAGCACTTGAATGAATGTCGACCTTATTGTGTAAAAATTCAATTATTGATCTCTCGTTTAATTTTGAGTCTTATTATACGTTTCGTGTTTAGAATTGATTATTGAATCACAGAATTAGATGTTTGAAGTATTTTCACAAAATTACCCCTATTTTGTTGCAACATATTTATACCAAGAATTTCATTAATTTTATTTATTTATGATATAATTATTTGTAAACTCTCTCCCCTCGAGAGAGAGAGAGAGAGAGAGAGAGAGAGAGAGTTTTATTATAATAATCACCATATCTGTTTCTTCTATACGTAATGTAATGTATGCTATTTAAGTAATCTATAAATTTATTATAATACTTAAGTTTCATTTATTAAATTGAAATCCATTTTTATTTTGTTAAGAGAATTGCAAAACTCAAACGCTTAACAAACAATTCAAAAGCTCTCAATAGAAAACAAATTCTGTATTTGAAAATTGAATTCACAGGAAAAAATATTTTTGCTTATATTTTCACGTATAGTATCCCGAAGGGACACTTGATATGATGCAAACCACTGCTGACAATTGTGCTGAAGATATCCCACAAGAGGTTTGTGAAGAATATCGTATTTATAATTATTGTTTTGTTGCTTTTTATTGGTTTTTTGTGTCCAAACGAATATTTCTTATTGTTATTTATATTTTGCAAGTCTTACTCAATATATAGATTGTGTTTATTATATTTATTAATATTGCATTTCATTTTGGATACAAACTTGTAGTCAACAAAACTTCAAAACAAGCCTTTAGAGAGTGGCATCACATCCATGGATGACATTAAAGATCCGGAAGAATATAAGCGACGCCTGTATCAGGAGTTGTTGAATCGAGACGGAGAGAAGAATATGTCAGAACACACCCAACCATTTACGCTAAACTTTAAAGACAAGACATTTGAGCACCAGTACCGCAACAGTCGTGATATAACCAGTTGTGTATCATTAGTGGGGTTGCCGTTAACGCTATTTTGCTATTTGATCGCATACTTACTCATTGGTCTGCCGTAAGTACAATCATCTAATTGCTAATCACATCGTTGTTTGCTCTGTTAGGCCATCATTTCTATACACAATTTCTTCGCTCCTATCAGTAAACCCTTCCTTTACTATCTCGAGGCCAATGATTATAATTCAAATCGATTGCAATTCTAGACATAATGTTAGTATATGTACAGTATTTATATCAAAACACTGACACTATTTGACAGAGAATTTATTGCGAGAAAAGAGTCCCCTTTTACCAGAAATATACTCTCTGTTTCTGGATTTATAAGCATTAATGATATCATTATAACCAGACGGACACTAACTTAATATAATTGTATGTTATGTTATGGTATACACAGTACTGTGCGTCCATACATGCGATATATAGATATATTTGTGATATTTATTGAGCAGAGAGTGAGATGTGATGATTACATTCAGATCGCAAATGAAAGCACATTAATATTATTTTATGTATCCATTGAATGGATTTTTTTTCTAACCGAGAATTATCAATATAGTTATTATAACGATATATCATTTATATATATTATTCTTACCTTATTTTACAGGCGATTATCAACTTATATGGTATTATTCTTATGCGTAACTCTACTCATAGCCAAAGCATTTGTCTGCACCGCTCCTATCATATGCAATGTAAGCCCCGTTTGACTACTATTTTATGAGCCGATAATAGGTTTTCAAACTACAGAATATTCTGATTCTATGTATTAAGAGAGAGAGAGAGAGAGAGAGAGAGATGAATCAATAGATCGATAAATGGATGTGTGGCACAGACACATACCCGGCTCGTTGTGCTGCACACGTCTGTATAAGTCAAACTCAAACGATAATTTGAATTCTTAACATTCATTCATAGAATAGCATTGTATGGGAAACAAGGCGTTAACTATACGGGCCGTATTGCACAGCGTGTCCATCACCTGATCTTCTAGCGATAGGGCCAACCTATGAACGGGAAATGACAGTTAGAGCGATGAGCATTAGACACAACACAAATGTATCACAATTTTAAGTATAATAAACCTGGATATGTGATCAATAAGTGTGCGTTGAGTGGACTCGTGGCCACTCAGTCGGGCGCTTCGCAAGGCGTTTGAACCCTTTCTGTTAGTTTGGGCAAAGTTTGAGCCATAATTCAGCAACAATTTAACGATTTCGTTGTGACCCAAACGACTGGCCTATTGGGGATGGGGTTGAGTGCAGACATGTACGAGATATAGAGTATATTAGTATTACACAAATAAATTAAATAATGAATTAAATGTTGTATATTTACAATTAATAATTTACAATATTCTGTAAAATGTCACGAATACCAGCCATTCCAGAGAAAAAGATAATTAAATCAATAAAGTATAAAAATGAATAATATTTGTTTCATGATTTTCATACATAAAAATTCATACAATTTAATAATTCATTAAAATGTGTGGGAATTTACAGTAAATTATAATTAAACTAAACTAACATTTATTGTCAGAGTAAACAAGAATAAAAATTCTGCGAAATTTATAATTTAAAATTAATACAAATGTTTAGTTTATGTTTAAAATGTTGTTTTGATTGTATAATCAAACATATTTTGTTAACGATTTTTCTATATAACATGCAATTTAATGATTGACTTAATTTTTATGAGAAAATATAATTATAAATATTATTCTAATAAAATATTTATTAAATCTAACTATATAAATATAGAAATTACAGCTAATCCAAACTATAGAAATGTGTAGATTTGTTCAAACATTCATTATTTAATCATGTTAAAAATAACAAACATAATATTTTAATTATACTATTACGCAATGAAATATATAACTTATAGAATTCGTATTATTATAATACGATGAAAAATGATTTATCAATATAAATAATTAAAATATTTGTAAAAATTATCTTACTATATAAGCCGATGTAATATTAATTAATAAATCAATACCAGTTTAATTTTGTTATTAATTGTGTTTAATTTAGTTATTAACAGTGAATCTAATTTGCAGTACAAAAGTTATTATTGTTATCATACCGATCTTTGTTTGCATGATGACTTTTTTCGCATTGTTCATGCTAAGTATTTATCATTTTAGTTTATTTTATTACACCATTATTTTATTAAATAGAATAATTAAATTATTTGTACTTAACAAATTAATTATTGAAATCAAAATAATTTTCGTAAAGTCCAATTATTGTGATCATGATTTTAATGAATAACTTATTAAAATCACTTAATTATAAACATTGTTACTCTTATAGAGAGAAAAGCCAAAACCCGGTCACTGAACAGACCAGTGGTCGTCACCGATACGAAAGACTCGGTTGCCGTCCAATCAGTAGAAGTCGGGCCGATGTGAACAAAACGTGCCAATTATAGCGCTTATATCAATGTATAATGTTTTAAATTCTAAAAAGTATATTTTAATAATTTTGATAATATTATAATTTATATTTTTATCTATATTAATATAACGACAAATATAATTTAATTTAACTCTCTATAATTTAATTTAGAAATTTTAAGCGTTTAAGCAAAATTTAAAAATGCAAAACATTATTTAAAATAAATTTTATTAGATTAAAATGATGATTAAAATTGTGATTAATTAAAAAGTCAAAAATTATGATTAATTAAAAGACCAATTTTAAAACAAGGATCACACAGCAATGCTATACGTTAACCACTATTCGGGAAATGCAGCAAAGATTTTAATTTTTTCAATGCGTTTGTTAGAATACTTTCACTATAGTTAATTTGAGAATTTTAATTGTTTTTGATAACAATTAGTTCGATTTATTATGGCAGATTCATTTAGTATATTTCAATAGAAAAAGCATTATCTTATTGAAATAACATTACTTGCCATAACTTGCCACGATCCTATAAACCACATTATTCATATCAGAATAGTGGTTAAAAAATTCTAAGCTACAACTTACAGAACAATATTTAAACAAAGTTTTTATTAATAAATTGTAAATTAATTAATTAATATTAATATTATTTTAGACTAATAATTATACTATTTTTTATTAGTTGTTTATTAAAAGAATATTTTTATGCTAAGAATTTGCCGATCCATGAAAATAACATGGTTTATAGTGAACTTTATACTTTATATTGGTGATTCACCCTGATGCAGTTTGATTGTAAAGCTTGTCAAGAAAAGGGCGGTAATTAGTGATCACTGCATGAATCCAATGCACATACGATAAAAGACATTATGATGTTCGGTGAATAAAATTAAATATCTCGAAAACCGCTAAAGCAACCAATTAGCTGTCTTCACGGATTTATTACCAGATAATCTACGCTCAAGAACTCCATTCACACTATAGATCTATTACGCATGGATATTAAGCTATGTGAAGTTAAAGTAAAAGTTACACTTTAAAAAAAGTCCATAGAGATTAATGTTAATTTTATAAAAATCAATTATTCATTAATAAACTCTATGAACTTTTAATCACAATTGAGTACTCTTAAAAGCGTAACTTTTACTTTAACTTCACTTAATATGTTCGGTGAATAAAGTTAATGTCTTTTATCGTATATTGACACTCGAGTCCATATCATAATTACTCGTTCGCCCGCATCCGCGCAGTGATAAGGCTTTGTTGAGTTAGTTGTCGGCAATAAGATTATTGCTACACCAATGAGTACAGCCCGACCCGACACGTACTGCACTAATAGTCCCCCGGAA